GGCTCCAGTGGAAAAAGTACAGCAGCTTGCTCCACTGGAGACATTATTATACAGGAAGACGGGAGACCGCTCCAGGCTGAATGTGTGTGTCGTGTGTGTTTTCTGTGTATTTACATTTATACCCTACTGTGTAGAAATGAGAGAGGGAAAGGGCAAGAGATTCAGACATTGACAGAACGAGAAAGTGTATGACTGTTGGTTGTGTGTGTGTGTGTGTGTGTGTGAGTTTGTTAGAGACTTGCTGCCACTGGCTGAAGTATTGCAGTAGTGAGCTAGATTACTCTTTTCTCTCATTGTTTTCTGATGAAAAGTTGAAAGTGAGCCATGAACCAGGTGCTGGATGATGATACTGAACATTTCCTTACATTTCTGTCAAATTCTGTTGGAAAGATTTCAATGTTTGCATACGTCAGGTGCACAAATATGTGTATGTAAGTCTAGGAGGAAAAAGAACCCAATGTAAATGTTAGATTCCCAAGGTCCCTGAAGTTATATTAAATCAGTGCCAACAAATGAACATAAAAACAGTAGGACTAAAAAATAAACAATGATGTGTTTATTTTTTTCTGTAACAAATAGTGTTAGAGATTACAATTTGAAATTCAGTAATTTCATTAGTTACTAATCCCAGTAATGTTCCATTACTTTCACATTTTGGGTGGGTCGACCTTTTCAGTTTGATGAAGGGATGATATCAGAACTGTTTTCTGGCCATATCTTACACATTGTACCTTTAAAACCTACTAATGTCAAGACAGTGTTTGTGTTTCTAAACAGCTTGTAATTTAACCATAAGCCTCTTTTAGAAAACGCTCAAATGCATAATTTACTTCTCTTCTCTACATCAGAACTGCAGGTAAATTCCTACACATATAACTCAAGCTTTTTTAAAAACTTGAATTTTGGTTAATATTTGTGGATGGAGATCTGCCCAGGAAACAAGCTTGCTCATAACATTCCTTTAAATCATGAGTCAGGGTGGTGGGAGGACTAAGGTGTGCAAGTGAAGAACAGATCAAAGAACAGGCGTATCAGTCACACAGCCCAGCTTGCATTACTTACATGGACAAGGATAATGAAGGTGGAATCTATAAGGGGGCTCAAATCTCACTTAGCTGCACTGAAATGGAGGAGACTACAATTAGCGCTTTAGCACATGGAATCTGAAATCACAATATTCAATATTAGATGTGATTTTCTCTATTAAGACCTCACACTGAAGTGATGTGTATTGGTGCAAATTTTTAAAACATGAGATAGAAGAATAGTAGTTTTCAATTTTACAGCTTTCATTGGCTTTTCATTTACTTGTCCCTATTTCACAATTCATGAGCACACGTGAAATTGAAAGCACCAACTGTGGCTACTTAAATAATTTCACCATGGTTTAACACAATTTAGGAAGACTTTAATAAGCTTTGTGACAAAAGGTGCCAATGACTGTAACTAGTGTGTTGGAATTAAATTAATCATACTCAGGAAATGAACTATTAGACCATTTCTTTTGAATAGAAACATTTGCTTGAACAGAACGTAGCTCATTTTTTTTGTGTTATTTATCACTTCTGTATTTTGGCCCGAATTTATAAAGGCTGCCAGTAAGTCTGAGAAAATACTGCGTGTGCCTGAGGTAGGAGTCACTGTGTAGGTGTGAGTGTGTAGGCTGGTGGTAATGTGCATCTGCACGGCTACATGTATCACATCAGCTGCAGACGTGTGTGTGTGTGTGGGGCCATGACAGAGAAGGAAACCTACAGAATAAGCTGCCACCCCTGACATGGGAGTCCTGTAGGAATTGAGTAAATCCTATTGTAAATTTGCCTACTCCATGAAGATAATTGGCTTATTCCTGTGTTAAATAGCCGGTCCTACAGGACACTGGCTGGGCTTAGCATGCTCCGTGTAGACAGTGTGTCTGTTCCTCTGCTTCTTAGGGACTAAGAGGCACATTACATACTGAATTATTGTATGACAATGATGAACTGATAGCTGCAGTGCCTAGCCCTGGATCTTCTGTGCAGGGTCTGCCATGCACAAAAGTCTGCATGGGCACAAGTTCGATTCCCAAAAGGGGTCCCTCTTGTATGGCTCTTGCTTCTTAATGTATGAAAAACAGTTGCATAGACAAGCGTAGGAACAATCTGCACATCCAAGACTTCAGAGCTACATTTCCCATGCCTTGTAAAGCTTTCAATTTCTGGTTTTCATGCTCAAGTCGACACAACAGTTTCAGGCTTCTATTGAGCTTGGATGTGGAGAAAGTGTTGCTTAGCTTTACCTAAATCATTATCCACACATCAAAAACCATCTGGGTTTCACTCCGTTACTTTGAAGATTCCTTCCTCATCAGTCCTGTGCCTAAAGGAAACACTGCAGATAACTGTGTGTGTGCACGCGCACATGCAAACGAGCTTACATGTGGCTGTTTTTCTGCCTGTTTTAACTCCGTATTTGCTCAGTAACCACACTAACAGTGGTTGCCTCTCTGATTCTTGGCCTCTGGGCAACTGCTTAGTGATGAACCCAGCCCCAGCTGATCTAGCAGCTCAGAAGGGGAAAAAAGCACCAAAATACTCAAACCAGAAAATGAGAGATTCAGAGATGGATGAATTGTCAGCGGATGTGCAGCTGTTCGTGTCTGTTCGTGTGTGTGTGCGCGCGTGTGTGTGTGAGGGAAGCTAGAGAGCTAGCATGCATAATTCTGGGACATGACCGAAAACTGTCTAGTTAGAGTGCATCAGGAAATGGATGAAAGGGAGAATTCCCTGCACGTGGTGAGAGATGGAGCTCAGAATCCTGTGTGTGTTCTGATGGCTGCAAAGTTGAACAAAGACAACTGAGAGACGGTGACTACAGTTCCTTTTTAAACCAGTGCTCTGTCTCTGTGAAAACACGCCGGACATGCTGTGAAGTGAAATGGTTGAAAGCATCTTTTTAAAGGTTGACTGATGATATTGAACACATAAAATGGCAGCACCTTGGGGAGGGTTTTTTGAAACTAAAAATACAGAAGCAAATGGAATGTTTGTTCATGCTTATCTCAGAGTCAAATTACATTGATTGATAAATATTTTTGATGATTTTTACTTACGGTGTGGTATCCTGTTATGTATTAGAGCAAGCAGCCTTTTCTGATGGTGTTGCAGCTCTCTTCAAGTGTATTCTGATGCATATAAACATTTGTCCAGGTGTGTGCGCGCATGTGTGCACTTTCCAGCCTCTCTAGAATCACAAGGGACGAGCTACAGAGCACGAGGTTCATCAGTAGTGTAATTAATGTAGTGCGGTTCAGTTGTCATGCATGATATTTCAGCGCTGCGATATACTTGAGAAGGCTTTTTGATGAATGGCCAATTAGAAGCAGACTCCGCAAGCCTGGTGGCTGACTGATCTCTTTTTAATGGCACTCCTGTTTCTTTGATAAAACGCAAAATGAATCATCGATACCCTGGCCCCGAGGAGCACCGAGCACAGAATTTAATTGTAATTGGGTGTGTAGCAGCACTTTGGGGTCGAGGCTGTGCCTGTGTGTATGTAAGAGTGTGTGAGAGCACTTTGGTGGTAATGGTGGTCAGTCCCAGTCATACTCTGATGCACATGGCTGCTTTTCCGAAGCATTATGTATAATTCACTGGTTATGTGTGTTCATCTTTATTCCTCTATCTACATTGATCTACTAAATGTACATTTCAGCCAAAGTGTACGAGTATGGCAGCCCAGCTGTGTGTGCTTACAACACCAATTGAGTCTCATTGTCACTGATTTTTTTGTGTTTGATTGCTATTAAAGCATGCTTCAATTAGGCCTGGCAAGTTTCCCTTCTGAAAATCCATGCTTAAACTGTGCTGCTGTGTTTGTGATGCTTTAATCAAAAAGTCTCATTTTATATGCATAATTAATGAAACAGAAATGAAAAGACGAGAGGGAAAAACAGCTTTAAACATTCAAAGACATACAAAGTCTCTTTTCTTCTTTGTTTGCCAGTTTCTCAGGAGATGGCAAAGATGTATTTGCCGTTTCTCAGAATGGGGTGTCATGGCAGGGAAGGGGGTTGTTTGAACAGAAGCTGTGAAAACACGCTGTGTAACAATTTGAGCAAGCAGCTAGTATCGTGAACCAAAATGCCCACCAGGAGCTTTTGGACCACCCAATAGGCAGCAAAAAACTTTTCTATGCCTTTTATTTTTGCCGGGTCCCAGCCACTGGAGATTTCTTTGCTTCCCTGAGCAAACATAACTGGTTCAGAATGAGGTGATTAGTGTTGTCAAAATGTCAACTCATCCCCCGCTGATGTTGGAGGGCTGGGACAATAATCTTATAATTCACTGCATGAAACTGTAGGAATGTGTCTCTTGTACCTGCCTGCCTGAAAATGGCACATACACGATGAGCCCTTTTGATTATTAGGTTTATGTGTGCTTTCCTCAGCCTCCTTCCCCAGCTCCACTGCACAGTGTTACACGTCTTCTAGCTGAAATTGCGGACCAGACCTTTCACACTTGGTCACAATGGAGGCTTGCTTGACAGGTACGCACTTGGGGAGATACAGAGGGAATCTTATTTTGTGGATTTAGACTTCATAAACATCATTATCATCTCTCCGACCTTGAGTTGCTGCGCTGTTCAGTGGCGACCCCAATTTTGTCAGGATCCTTGAATGGGGATGCGCACAGTCTCTCGGGCACATGGGCAATCGAGTCAACAAAAACAAATTTTCTTTAGTGAGTGGAGTGTGTGGCATGTTGGCATGTGTGTTATGTGTGTCTGAGTGAGGTTGTGCATCTACGCACTGTACGTATGCTGACTCAGTAATCTTTCTAGCCTGCTGCCTGGATCCGTCAGCATCTTTCCTCCAAGCAAAGTTTTCTGACTGTGCCTCTGCCAGATTTAAACCATGTAGAACATTAGTGTAACAGCCCACGCTCTTAGAATACAGATTTGTTCTTGAGTGCACGCCAAATGGCCTCTATATTTCATGAGCCTTCTCTCTACTAACATACCGTCTTGAGACTAATTATCATGGTCGCACTCAAACACAAAGCTCGTTTATTATTGCACTGACATCACATTTGTTTTGGCTTGGCCTACATGGCAGGAACTTCACAGTGCTACAATGCTAGAATCATGTTTTGAGTTTGACAGAGCATGCTTTGGATAGAGCATCTGTTCCTTGTTGAGTTGTACACAGTGTTAGGCAGAAAGGTTGCTTGCTCTTTACAGTCTTGTCACTTGTCTCTCTTCAAGTGGACTGTCACCCCCCCCCTTTTTTTTGTATGTGCAGGGCTGCTACACACTAAGTGAGCTGCTCACTGGGGAGTAGTGCTCAATTCTTGGGAAGCAGTTTTCCTCTCTTGGTCTTGGCCTAGAAATGCCTTGATACTTTTTTTATTATCACAATACTTTTCCCCCAGCATATTGTATCTGTACACTGATTCCAGCTATTTTTATACATACTGCAAGACTATTAGTAAAAGCCTGAGTAATTCTGGTCTGAAAAATGGAAATGGTACATAAAAGAATAGTTGAATATTTAAAGGAGCTTCTAGTAATGGATGTATAATAAAACATTTGTGATATATATTTTTTAGTATTTTTCTAATTATGGTGAGTGAAATGTAAAATAATTTTTTGTGTATTGCAAAATGTATCACAGACTATTGCATTGCCTAGGGATTGATGAGTGATCCAATTTTTGGGATACCGTTAGATAATTTATCAATCTACTAAAATTACGACCTCATTAAACATGCCAACTCATTTCTCTCAAGGGTCATAAGTTCGCCAGTGTCTATCCCAGGATGCACTGGGCAGAAGGCAGGAAACATCCCGGGCAGGTTGCCAGTCTTTTGCAGGAGGAGAGCATACAGAAAAGCACAGATAGATACTCAAACACATGAATTCACAAGTAACAGAGGCAGAGTTTGAACTATGATGCTTTCAACGGAGTCCAAAAATAGACAATGTTGATGTAATGTCTAGGTTTAAATGATTTTAACATGCTGGACATAAAACATGGCAACATGGCATTGTAGGGATAAGTGGCATAAATGAGAAAAAATGAAAAGGGCCTTGTATAAAATCACAGCACAACTACATTATAGCCCCTACTCGTCCACGGTAAACCCACACAGGTGTTTTCACTTAATTGGCTGATCAGACTGTGTTCCTTTCAGGTTTCTAAAACCTGAAAGGAACACAGAATGAATGCAGTCATCTCCCTAGCCTGGCTCCAGACGTCGGAATCGCCACCCACATCTCACTTTTGTTCAGCAATCCAAAATAGGTCTGGTGTCGTGCCCATTGATGTCTGTTTTTGTCGATTGGAGACACAGTCGACCAATCAGTTTGGTAAGAACAGAACCTCCTACATTCATAATACATAGCAATAGAAAAACTGCGAAAACTCTTAATTTGAAATAATCAATGTGGAAAAACTGCTGCTACGTACCAGAGCTGTCAACTGAAAATTATACATCCAATGCATTTTGCAGGAATACAAAAATGAGCTTCAATTTACACCCCCGCTTCTGCTTTTCCTGTTAGTATTGTGCCACTTGTTACATTTCACAAGACTTTTAGGAAGTATATGGAGTTCAGTGACCTCAGAAATCTCCCAGCACAGCTCTGCCTAATTCTAATTCAATCAGCCACAATAAGTGAAAACACCTGTGTGGGTGTGCAGGGATGTTGAGTCTAATGTTGCTGTGCTGTTATAATTACTCAGTGCCACCATCAGCTGAATTAATAGTTAATACACACTGACAGATCTATTTCTGTCAGGATATGGGTTGACTATGACTATAATGTATCGTTGCAAAGGTCATCCAATGCAAATTGCATTTAGGAATATTTCACTAGCAAGGACCACAATCAACAGATATGATTAAATGATTTATGGATAAACAGAAAGATGTATGATGCTTGCAGTTGCTGAATAGACATTCAAAAGCGTTGTGGGGAAGCTAGGATCGGGAAATCGTATGTAGAAGAAGAAGGACATGAGGAGACCGGTCAGAGAAAGGGGTGGGCGGGAGGGGTGCGGAATGCGAGAGAGGAGGACGTGTGTTGTGTGGGTATTTATGGAAATGCCAGGAGTGACGTCATTGATGTGGGGTCCCGCTCCTGAAACTCTGCTGGTAGCACCACTTAAGAGATTGTTATGTGTATTGTTGAAAAAATCACATTATACATGATATGGGTTGCAATTAATGATTAATCGATCAATTAATTAAAGATGGATTTATTTTTTATTGAAAAAGACCTGCATTGTAGTGCACTCACTACACTTAAATCCGTGGACGAAACATCATCTAAAACCCTGCAACAAGCATACATTCCAGTATAGCACAGCAGGAACAGATTGTCCCTATAGCTGCTTGACATCTCTTCTTATCCGTAAGTAAATAAATAATAAGCGTATCCAAACATAGCAATTACATGCTATTGTGTGCTTGATGATTGAGGGAGTGTGCCCACCTGTTGCCAATGGTTTATGCTTTTCATTGTGGCAGCATCCACTCTGCCTTTTGTGCAAGTGTTTGTCATCCATGACCACAGGCTGTGATGATGACTACATTGCTGACGTTCAGCTGACTCCCACAAATTGCCTCATAAATTTTATTGCCATTTATGTCCGAACACTTTCCAAATGTAATTTTTATTTTTTTTGTTCTCAGTAGGGCAAATGCCTCTGAACACCTAATCATAATTTTCTCTGCCAAAAATGACTGGCCTGTTACACTGGTAATATTGGATTCAGTATACAACATGTATCAGCACTGCTCTTCCACGTCTTGACTCTGTTGGGTGTGTTTTTGAGTGTGTCAGGCTGACACATGTTTTCAATAGTTGATTCATTCCTGTGTTGTCCCAACGCAATACACGCTAACATTTTCCACTGTTCTACTTTTGTCACCCTCTCTTTGCATGCATCCACGCAGATATGCTGTGACACACACAATATGGCAAATGTCAGCAAAGACAAAAGTGTGCACATGATCAGATACTGCTCCGATTTGGGGGTACATGCGCACGCTCAAGCCTGAAGTGCATCCTCCACAACTGACGTACTCACTTGCAGGGGAACAGCTGGAGATAAAGCAAATGTGTAGGGATTGTGTATGTGTTGTGGTGTGACACATCTGGGTAAAGCGACATGAGGGGGTCTTGACAGATATGGGCTGAGTGAGAGCCTGTTCCTGTTGTGCTCTGTCACACTGAGGCTTCTTCCACATGCCTGCCTTCCACCGTCTGCTTGACGCTCCCGCTAGCTGTTAGGTAACCTGATGCTACTGTGTGTGAGTAGGTGACCCACTCCTATAGGTTAAAAGCGCCAGCGTCGCTGCAGTGTTCCCTTGGGCATGTGCATGTGTGACATGACATTGGGTCCCATGAAAGATGGAGGGTGAGAGATTAAAAGGACACAAAACAAGGGCATGAGAAAAGAAGAAGCGGTGGGGAGCTGCTTTATGTCTTTGCTTGTGAAATGGACAGAAGGTTCAGTTGATGAATGAGAGCATCAGTGCGTGACCGTGGAGGTGACATCGAAGGCCTCAGCGACCATTTCCATTTTGCGTTAAATTTTGTTTCTTTTGCCACCATGTGCTTCAAGGTTCGCTCATAATTTATGCTTCGAGCATGTGTGTGTTGAAATTGAACATTTGTGGTCTGTGTGTAAGCTTGCAGGTGTACGTGTTGTTGTTGGTGTGTGTGTGTGTGTGTGTGTGTGGGCTCCCAGTGGGAATTGTATTTCAGTCGGTCAAGCCTGACAGATAACAGCCCTACCGTGCTCGTCACATCTATTATTGAGGGGACGGGAAATTGATCGGCTCTAACGGTGAATGTTACCCAGCCTTCCTCAGTTCCTCTTTTCCCTCTCTCTACCGCTGTGCTCCCTGTGTTATTTGTCCTCCACCCATCTCTTCTCACTGTCGGACTCCCCGCTGCCCTTTGTTTTAAGTCATCTGGTTACTTTTCATCCTTTTTTTCATCTCTCAACCTCCATGCCGGTCTCACTTCTTTCCACAGCTTTCTCCCCTCTTTGAATTGTCTTCCCGTTTTTTTTTGGTCTTGATCCTCACTTTTTTAAAGTAAAACATGCAGACAACCACGCTGTCTCAGTTTCTCAATTGCCAGCATAATTTGACTTCTATTTTTCTGGCAAGCTCTTCTTCTGTTGAAATTGTTGTTCCACAGTGTATCAACACCCCGGACTCCTCTTTGCCCTCAGCTTGCACAAGTGAGTTAGAGCCCTTTTCACCCTCCTTCCCAGCCGCCCTTTGCTCTCTCCTCATCTCCCCTTCTCTCTTCGTCAGCTGGAAATTGCGACATCAGCTCACCTTTGATCACTCTCCCTGGGAACTCTTCATCGCATAAAGTCAAGTGTTTTATCTTTGTTGTGTGACAATTCAACTCTGGAAAAGACCACGTGCTGCCAGCCAACATGGCTGTTTGCGCGTCAAATATGCGGAGCAGAGAAGAAGAAAGCCTAATTTGAGCTCAATTCATCATGGCAAGATTGCCCTGCATTTATTGATAATTGCTTTTTTCCGTTTAAAGGGATGGTGTTTAAACCGCCAGTCGTGTAAACATGAGAGATGCAGCTGTTGCCGCAATTAACTTCTCACTTTCCCTAATGAAAGGATTAATCCGCCAGCAAATCTCTCGGCTTCCTTTCAAATGCCAAGCCTCCATTCACCACACTGCCAGTGGAAGAAAGGCGGCCTGTGTCGAACAAAATGGGACTATCTATAACCAGAGCCAAAAGTCACATTCATCGGCTCAGCCTGGTGTCACATCATCAGGGTCCCTTTACTGCTGTGGAACAAGAGAGACCCTTAACCAACTGCTGTTTGATGATTTCCTGGGCACAGCCTCTGCAGGCGTTTTCACAGACAGGCCTCTCCACAGTGCCACCTCCGCCCCCCACCTTTTCTTCAGTCTCGATCCAAACGCTCGGGTCTCTGAGCTCAGCCCTCCGCAGCACTATCACCTCTTGTCAGAATCCTTCAGAATGGACGACAGGGAGTGCTTTACTTTCCACAGACTGTGGAAAGCCAGAAAGTGAATAGCTGTCTCCTGTTGGAATAAGATGTGTCTGGGCAGCCAGGGGTGAATGGCAGCCTGTTGAGAACGGAGGTAAGTTTAGGCTAAATCTTTGAAGCCATTGATCGAATGTATTGATCAGTTTTTTTTTTCTCTGCAACACAGAGACATGGGGACAGGTGTGGAGATAAACAGATAGATCAAATCCATGACAAATGCCAATCATCTGTCCTTTCCTGGTCTAGCCATCGATCAGGAAGAGGAAGCGCTCCTTGTCATTGTCAAAAATTACTCAAGCTTGGTTTTCAGATGTTAAGTATAGATTGCGAGCTGAGTCTGTTCACAGTGGCTGATTTTTACAAACAAACCAAGAGCTCTAACTGTCACTTTTTATGGACCGACAGGAGACCTATTATGCTTTTCCATATTTTATGACTTATCTACAATCTTGGATGTTCATGTTAAACATGGTCAAAGTTTCAAATAATGAGGTTAAAGTATTTAAAAGAAATCCCTGTGAGCAAAAACCTCAGATTTTCTAATGTTCTGAACGCTCTGTCTGAAACAGCTTTTTCTACCAACGGCTCTGTTCTACAACACACGGAGCTACACGGTGCCGGTATTCCATATATGGTCGTTTGCTCCGCACAGCTACGCTCAGTCTGTCTATACCTCTTAGGGACAACAACAGCCTGGTAATATGCTTCAGGTTTTGGCCAATCAGAAGACAGTGGGCTTTGAGAGGGGGGCCTTAAAGAGACAGGAGCATCTGTAGCTTGTTTCAGACAGAGGGTAAAATGAAGGCCTACATGAAGAGCCAGCGTAAGACAGAATTATTTTTTGAAAATTTGAATCATGCAAAGCTGCCATACATGAGTCACTGAACTACAATATAGGACTGGAAAAGCAGTATAATAGGTCTCCCGTAATGAAACATTGCATTGTTTCAAGCAGTACACTTAAATCGTGCTTGTATTAGATGATTGGTATCAGCTGTTTCATACATGCTTCACATCATTGGCTCATTCATCAGCTGTTTGGCAGCATCCAGTCATATTCATCCAGGTGTTCAGCATGGCAATAATAATCTGACACTACTCACTATGCTCTCTCTGATACTCCGATGCTGCGGCAGCTCCCTCCACCACCCCAACCTCCTTACAATATGTGCTTTTTAGGATTTAATGTTAATGTGTATTTATTAAGGGGAATTAGCTCTCAGCGGAAGAGATCTCTGTTCAAATCTGATTTAGCAATACGGTGGCCCTAAGGGGTCAAAACACAATGACATTTCAGAAAAACCA